CCTCTTACATCAATTCTATAATCTAAAACTAACTTCATAAATTCATGTGATTAGAGATATATTTTGTGTTGGATTAAAATTGAAAGCACATTGTCTGTTGCTAACGTGTTTTATACAATTTAAATTTGAGCAGTCATTCTTCCAGTCGAAGTAAAATTTGGTTACGCGATTGTAAGACTTATAACAGCGAACAACAATATTTTTTGAAAAGTTTCGTTTAGAAGGAATGATTTCTGAATAGTATTTGCTCGGATAACTGATCGTAAGATGGTAAAATAGAATTTCTTTGTTTCCTAATTTGTAGGAAATTTCATTATTAATCGTTAAGCTTTAATCTTTATTCTCTTTGTTTCTCTTGTGTACTGGTTGACTGCATAATATCAGTATTTTCTAAATACTAATTTATATGTATGTTATATGTTTATTATATAAGTATATCTTTTACAATGCAATTGATGCTAACAATGGTATATTTTAAGAAATTCAATGACATTAGAAAACTTGATTCCCAGTACTTGGCACCATGGTAAAATATTCTTAATCGCCATTGTCAGGGATATATATTTCCTGATATTTCTTTCAAATACAACCAATCAATATAGTTTCAATTTATACTTTAATTGGTTTTTTAATTGAAAGTTCTTATCTTAAAACCAAAAGCCTTAGTTAGACGAATTTGTATAATGTTTTGTTCATGTGTAATATTTTGCATATGAGATCCTATATTGTTTAATTAATTTAGTTTAGGTAATAAGAGCAGCTATGAGTTATCCAGCCTCTACACCTAGTGCGCCTCCACCAGGAATCAATCCTCAATTTATGCCTGGAGATCCAAGTGCTCCTCCTGGCTATCCACCACCTTCAGAAGGTTATCCACCTTCAGGAGGTTATCCGCCTTCAGGTGGTTATCCACCTTCAGGAGGTTATGCACCTTCTGGGGGATATCCCCCTGCTCCAGGTTATCCACCTTCACAACCAATGGATGCTTACCCACCTCAAGGTGGTGGTTATCCACCTTCACAACCAATGGATGCTTACCAACCTCAAGGTGGTGGTTATCCACCTTCACAACCAATGGATCCCTATCCTTCCCAAGGAGGTGGTTATCCTCCTTCTGGTTATCCACAACCTGGTGGGTATCCACCAGGTCCAATGATTAATCAACCTACTCCTGGTCCAGGTTATCCATCTCCAAATGCTATGCAGCCGTGTAAGTTTTATGTTCATTTTATTACATTTTACGTAAATTGTGATTTTAAAAGTTGTTTACTGGGTTTCATCTAAAATAGTTTCTCGAATGTGTTTATAAAGTTTAAAGAATTTTTACAACTTTTTATCATTTAAAGAATAATTAATCATTTCTATTCACATCAAGATGAATAAACTATGTAATTATGTGTCAGTATGTCTACGTCAAAATGTAGATGAAAATAATTATCTATCGACTAGAATTTGTTCTACTTTAAATTATAGATCAAGTTATTATACTATATCAATTTAAACTAACTGTAGTATATGTATATTTGTTTATGAATAGGTACTCTATTTTGTTTTATATTAAATATTATAGGTATTTCGAATAAATGAAATTATGAACTTGAAAGTTAACTACATAACTGTTCATTATTCACACATTAAATGATAGAATGAACTAATAGATGGCTAATATTGATGTTTTGTCTGCTCAAGCCTTAGCAAAAGGATATAATGTCAAGTGCCAACTATGACATTGGGGGTATGTTTCACTTATAAAAGGTTGAAGTTTTTCTTTAGTCCCATTAGAATCAAGTTGTCATATTGACTAGTATATAATTAGAATGTCTTGAAAAGGGACTGTATCAAATAACCAGCTATTTTTAATAATTTTTTTGAATATATTAATTAATATACCATATGAAATTATTGCTTCTATAAGTCAGTACATAAAGTATTTATGTTTTGATTATTAGATGATAGAAACATAATTGATGCTTTGAAATATTCACAAAAAACATTGTGCTTTTTCTTGTTTATACGATATAGTTCTTAAATTATGCACATGAAAGTTAACCCTATAACTGTTTTTTATGAACACATTAAAAGATGGCTAATATTGATGTTCTATCTGCTCAAGCCTTGTTAGAAAGGTATAACCTCAAGGGCCAACAATGACATTTGCTATACGTTTTACTTTCAAATAGTCAAATTTTATTTTTTGTCCCATTAAATTCAAATTATTTTACTAGTGACAGCTTCAAATGTATTGAAAAAGTGGCAGTCTTAAATAACCAGCTATTTTTAACATTTTTTTATAATAGTATATCCGTTTTTTTGGAGGGTATGCAAATATTGCTTTTTAAAGTCGTTAGTTATCTTTTACATTTATTATTTATATTTTTATTGTTCGTGTCTTCATGTTTCTATGATGTAGTTTTGAGATCTTGAAAAAATAATGCTAATATTTCATTTATTTTTTAAGTAATCATCTAATTTATTGTTATTATTTAATTTATTTGTACTCATTTCTAAATATGAAGAAAAAAATTAATTTTCAGCTGGTGATGGAAATTGGATGCCTGTTCCAACTGGTGTTCCTGTATGCCCTCCCGGACTAGAATATCTCACTATGATTGATCAAATGATTGTACACCAAAAAGTGGAAATGCTTGAAGGTATTAAATATCTAATGTCTTGTTGTTAATTTATCAAATTTAATTAGATACATCAAATTGAGAATTAAGTTTTATGCTTCATTGTATATTTGGTGACACTGGTTTTAATCTCTGTCTGATTCTCATAGAATGCATTTCCAATGGTTTTCTTATTTTAGAATCCTGAACTACCATTATGTGTTTTCTTATGCAAAACGATAAACATTCAGTATATATTCACTCCAAAATTGCTCTTATTTCTAAGAACATTATTAATAACTAAAATGTAACAAAATTGAGTGAAACCTTTAAAATATTTGTAACAAACACAGTAATAGGGAGCCACCTTTAGAAAGACAAATGAAGATACATGTGACATCTTGACAATGGATAAAAATAATTTGTCTAAATGTTGGCTGAGTGTATTCACTTCTTTTAATACAATATTATAACTGATAGAAGTTTTAATTAACAAGTTATGTTAATTAAAACTTATGTTAATTAAAACATCAATAACAAGAAGGTTTAATTATTTAAAGCATATTCTGCTTTAATCAAATTGTCCATAATTAATCAAATTATGGGCAGCCAGATAAAAGCTAAATTCCAAAATAAACATCAGTTGCCAAAATGTTCAATAAAATTTTACGTTTCTATCTCTGCTCACAATTTAAAGTATTTTACAGTAATTGTCATTAAAAACGCTGCACCGTCGCTCAGGCCGGACTTCCAATTTTAACAATTACTGAGAAGAAATCAAGAATTTTAAAAAGAAAGAAGGAAACAAACTCAAAAACTTTCTAAAGTAAGAGACATGAACTTAAAACCTCACATGGAATTTTAAAAGCACTAATGTCATAGTGTAAAAAGTAAACTACTAAATAACTGCTGAACATTTTTAAATTGCTACTAAAAAGAAATATACTAAATAGCTGCAGGTTGAAGGAATAGCAGCAAAATACTGTGTGTGAATCATGTAACACTGGGTGACCTCATTAATAAGAATGGCTAGAATATATATATAAATATATGTGTATATATATATATAATTTAACATTATGTGAACTATAAGAACCATTCTTTGAATGCTAAATGCGATAACTCATATATTATATATATGTGTATAGATATTAATTATTTAGCATTATGTGAACTATAAAAGCTGAATANGGTAGAATCAAAGAATATATATATATATATATATGTATGTATATATATATATATATATATGTGTGTGTGTGTGTATATATATATTTATGTATATGTATATTTGAAAATATAAGACATATGCAAAAGGGGGGGAATAATAATAATAAAAAATAACAGGCAACTGATAAAAAAAATGAAATTTTTTAAAAAAACCGGAAAATAAAAGATATAATCTTTTCATCAGCCCACGCGATTCTATCCGCAAAAAAGTGTGCTTTCTGATATTGTATAAATATAGCTAAAGCAAAATATATTAATACAATAGTGTGAGGAGCACTAAAATCCTTACTTTCCGGCACTTTGAAATCCTCTATTTACGCTCAATTTGCGCTTTTGTTTTCATATTTTGTAATCTGGCAATCTTGTTGCGAAAGTATTTTTAAATCATTCTTGAAAAATTTCCCATTCATGTAAGTACATCTGATTTTGCTTCTCGCTTTATAGTATTTGTTTTGTTTTATACTGTTTTTTCTTTTATTTTATTTTCTGTTCCTGCGTGTTATTTTACTTATTGTGTTCTATTTTATTTGTTGTAATTTTTGTAAAAAAAAATTATTTTTTTTTGAGTGCTTCTCACATTATTGTATTAATATATTTTGCTTTGGCTATATTAATACAATATCAGAAAGCACTCTTTTTTGCNTATTTATTCAAATGCAAAAATAATCATGAATGTAGCTCTGTTTTGTTTCATTTTTTTTTTTTTTTTTTTTTTTAAATTCATCCTTTTTTTTCTTTTTTTTTTAATCAGTTGTTTGTTATTTTTTTCCATTATTATTTCTCCCCCCCCCCTTTTTTTGCATTTGTCGATTATTTTCCTTTGTTTTATCTTCATTTTGAACTTCTCTAATGAGTTCTGTTTAACTGTAATCTGTTTACTTGCAGAATATGCGCAATAAATGAAACTTACTGTTTTTCTTAACTTTCTTCGTGTTTTCTTGTATTTATTTATTTTGTTATATATATATATATATATTTGAAACATAAAAAGCTTCAATTAATCTGTTAATGAATGTTCAATGTTAGTTATATTCTGAACATCCTTTTCTTTTCTTTTATTATTCTAATCGAAATACTTTCTCACACTTTTAAATGCCACATCCTGTCCTTAAATTTATTTTTGGCTCAACTATGCATTAATTAAAAGCAGAACATTTTTTCCCTTTAATCTTCATGGGAATCACTCGACCTATTTCATAAACCAATAGTAATTTCTAAGATTTCCCTCTTTTCCCTAAATGGAGACATTTACGGATTTTACTTTGCAAGATTTTCACTAACATATAACCGAGGAGCGCAACTTTTCGTACACACTTTCATGACTGCTCTGTCTAATAATTAATAAATAAATTTTGTACCCTCCTTCCCTGCCTAAGACCTGTTTTAATCCTTCCACTCGGCAAAGACGTTATATATATATATATGTTAAGACATGTTGAAGAAATAGAACTTATCTCATTTATACGAGTTATTGTGCTTTGAATTACCATCTTCATATTAATTTGTCTGTATTAATCACCCATATTTATGTTAGTATTAATCACACTCTTTGTATTAATTAACCACTTATCATGTATTTCATTAAATGTATGACAATTAATTTATATTTTCAGCTATAATTGGCTTTGAAACTAAGAACAAGTATACTATTAAAAATAGTATGGGGCAAAAAATGTACACAGCTAAAGAAGGTAAATGATTCATCCATATTGTTTTTATAATATTATGTTTTTAATGAAACTATCATGTTGTTTATTTTTCTGATTTGTATTTACATAATTCAAGCTTGGATGATTTGAAATATTATATAATCAAAACTAGTATTGATTCTCCTATTAGAAAAAAATATTTTAATAGTGATGTCAAGTTTAGTTATTATTAGTAGTTTGAAAAATCAATATTAAAGGCCAGCTGAGACATTAAAAGAATTTCAAAAGTATACATTTTATAACTGCTTTATAAAATAATAAAAATTAAGGGTTAAAAACTTGAAATATGTTAAGAAGTAATTTTATTAAATTTTGCACTATGCAAAAATTAAAGGAAAATTTTTTTAATATATTAAGTATTTTACTAAATTAATCTCATTTAATAAAATAACCTAAATGAGTGATGTGTTAGTAATTAAGCCACATTATAATCACTAAGAGCCTCTTATTGATGTGTCCACAGTATCCACAAAACCATGTGTCCACACTTGCCCTATAGAGTCATTAATCTGTTTTAATGTATGATAGCAGATCAATAATCAAAAAAGCATAATCTAAAGTAAAAATAAGCATGTTTATATAGCATAATAAATATATCTAATAAGATAACTGCAATAGTATATTATCTGCTAGTAATAAATATTATAAATAAAAATAACCTTAAATACCAAGGAAAAGGTAAATTAAGAAATTACATTTCCACTCTGATAATATTGTTTTTTAATTTGCTGCTTAAGAGTTTAGTATGTTGTCATGTAACTATGCAAGAAAGTATTATACAGTTTTGTCAATCTGCTAAAATTTATACAAAAGAATTTTAATTTGTTATATTGACATTTACTTTATTATACACTGAAGAACCATTTGTAGAAGACACAGAGCTTGAATTAAAAAAAATAAGGTTAAATACCAACTATTCTCCTCCTATATCAACCATATGACCAAACAAAGATACTAAGGTAGACTTTCCAACTCCAGACGGCCTGACTAAACTATTTTTTTGGCCTGGCACAAAAATAAATACCTTTTTCTATGCAGAAAAATCTATTTCGTAGAATGCTTGTGTGAAGGCAAAAATGGCTTAAATAATATGATGTTAGGATCAATAGAAAAGGGTTTACTACATTTCGTCTTGCAGTATATGTTGCTTACATTAAATATGTAAATTAATATTATGCAAATATTTATTTGATTGTTAATTTATAATGTTTCACTACAAATTTTTAAGAAAAATGTTTTGTCTGGTAGGACTGGGCTTTATACCGATGTAAGA